TTTAACAGGAAGAAAACTCCAGTAGAACCAGGCTCATTGTGAGCGGCAATCCGCCGAGACCGACTGGATTTCAAGGACACAGGAGCAGACATACAAAAGTAATCAGAGATACAAAAAGTAACTGTCAATCACCCTCTCCGGGAAACACACAGCCAAGCAGACCAGCTCCAAGCCAGCTTCCAAGTCAGAGGATGAAAGACAGCACATTCAGTTAGTCACAGTAAGAGAAACAGAACTACACCGAAAAACAGGCCATGCTCCAACATCTTTAAACAAAGGTGTTGATAACAGCACTGCTGATATTTCTCTCCAGGATGGAGCCACAGCCAAACAGGAACACACCAGATGAAGCAATATGATGCGAAAAAACAGATATAGCATCAAGTTAAAAGTTGAACTAACAAATACTGCAGAATGGGATAGAAGAGAGTGAAAAACATTGATGAAAAGTAGACACTATGTCCTCCATCAGTCTAAGCCTATAGCAGCATTTCTATAGAGATATCTCAAGATAACCTGAGCCACTACTATAAGCTCTATCAAAAAAAAAAAACAGTCATATTATGCTATTATGCTATTCTCCTGAATGAGAAAAAGCTCAGTTTTTAATAAGAGCACCATGGATACAAGAAACTCACTGTATAGTTTTATTTAAAAGCATGGAGATTGAGCAAGTAAATAATATGATCTGCCAATGAATGAATATTTTCACTCATAAAATAAGATTGAAATAAAGGTATTAATGATGCAGTCTTTTTTTTTCTTATTTCAAACCAAATGATTTTATTCAACTGGCAAATTATCTTACAGGTTAGATCTGCTAAAATCAAGGGAAAATACACTGCAATAAATGGAAATACAATGAGTCCATCTTTCTTTAGTCTACCTTCAGTCTGTCTAGGAGACAAACTATTCACTGTTAAAGAGGTCCAGCATCTGCACTGCAAAAATGATCTTAAAATGAGTAAAAATTTCTTAAATTAAGGGTATTTACCCTTAATTTAAGCAGGTAAATAAGATGATTTGCCAATGGAATTAGTATTTTTACTCTTAAAATAAGCTATCTAGATAAAATGCACTTGAAATAAGACAATGCAATTGTTTTTTCTTATTTTAAGTGAAATTGTCTTGTTCTATTGGCAAAGTGTCTCACTTAAATCCTTAATTCAAGAAAAAATGCACATATTTTAAGAAGAAATGACTTATTTACGGTAGATTTAATTTTTTTTGCAGTGACCCTGGTTGGAGGGTAAAGCCTAGTTTGGGTCACAAGGAGTGAAAAAGGAAATAAGGGAATGTTTTATGCCGACGCATTTCACAGATGAGACATCTTTCTGCAGCAGTAAGTCGACCTGCATTGTTAGAAACAGAAGGAATTACTGAGCCTTAACCCAGGAGATCCAATGATAAACAGTCAGAGTAGAAATCCCTGCAGCCAGCAGCTGATCTGATTTATTTCAGGTCTGTCACAGGTCACGGTCCAGGTCCAGGTCTGTGTTAAGCACTGTGAAGAGGAGAGAGATGGGGCATGAATGCAGTGATATTAACGGCTTAAAGGGTTTGAAACCAGGTTTATAACGTTAAATCAAATCTAATCAAAACCTTTTCTGAGTTCTTTTGTTTCTTTACGGTTAAATCTTTATTAATTTTTAGCTGGAAATCATAATTAAATCTGAAACAACAGCCTGTTCTGGGTTCTTTATAGTTTTTTAGATGTGCGTGCAGGAAAACATTCGAAAGATTCAGCCCACTGCGAAAAAAAATGAATAAATAGATAAGCCAATTTTTCTTAAAGGGATAGTTCGGGATTTTTGACATGAATCTGTATGGCATCCCCATCACCAGTGTCATGCAATCACACTGACTTACCCCTGGCAGCGTCCTGTGAGCAGAGTTCTCGTCCAGTTTTGGTCAAGCCGAAAGTAGTCCGGCAGGTTTGCTAGACCCAGCGAAATAAAACGTTTTTCTTCCCAAAACATTATGTGTTCAAAAGAGTGATTTTTTTGCATCCCAAAAACATTGTAGTGGAAAAAGTCACACGTCGTTATCAATTGGTCCTATTTTCTCTCTGTTCGTATCAGTGCGCGCCGTCATTCAGACAGCTAGGGCCTACTAACCTGACAACAGCCAGATGCATGTCTCCCTCCGCCCAGCTAGGAGCTAGGCGGAGGGAGACATGCATCTGGCTGTTGTTGAGCTCGCTGTCTGAATGACGGCGCGCACTGATACGAACAGAGAGAAAATAGGACCAAGTGATAACGACGTGTGACTTTTTCCACTACGATGTTTTTGGGATGCAAAAATATCACTCTTTTGAACACATAATGTTTTGGGAAGAGAAACGTTTTATTTCGCTGGGTCTAGCAAACCTGCCGGACTACTTTCGGCTTGACCAAAACTGGACGAGAACTCTGCTCACAGGATGCTGCCAGGGGTAAGTCAGTGTGATTGCATGACACTGGTGATGGGGATGCCATACAGATTCATGTCAAAAATCCCGAACTATCCCTTTAAAATACGTTTATTTTCTCTTATATCAAGCAGGTAGATGGTATATATTTTAATAAATAAGAGGATTAGCATTTGTAAACAGAAAGTAATCCCAATATCTTATTTCAAGTGGATATCTAACTAAATAACTAATTTAAGGGCAAAAATACTAATTTCGTTGGCAGATAATCTTACTTACCTGCTTCAATTAAGAACAAATATTCTTTTAAACAAAATCTGACTTAATATTAAATTCTGAATTTTCAGTGCAGTATCATGGATGTAAGGAGGTCCCAGGTTTTGCCCACAGAGAGAGTCTATCCTTCAGAGCTGGACTTTCTTCTCACGCCTTATCCAAGTTGAAGCAACAAATCAGAACTACGTTGTTCACTAGTTTCACTATTACTACTTCCTTTTAGAGCCTGGCTGGCCATTTACTCCATGCCCTTTAATAAACTGGGATTATCTGGATTAAACTTTATTGGGGGACAAAAACAGAACTACAGTAAAATATTTAGCTAAAACAAGAACAGAAAAACGTTCCTTAGATCTGAAGGATGATCTCCAACATGCATTATTGGAGCTGAAGGAGGATTCTCTGCAATTAATCTAATCTTTATGGAGGAAAGGACCCTTCTAACCAGCCTGAGGCGTCAGAGGGAAATGTGACTGATAATTAAAGACTCTAATTAAATATTGCAACCTTTAAACAAGAAACTTCTCTGCTACCTTTTACACAGTGCTTTCATTCTATCTCAGGATGAGCCTCTGGGTTGGTGTCATCAGCGTCTGCTCAGCTTCGCTTTAGTTTCTTACAGCTTTTATTCTTTTTTGACTTTTAGAGAAGAGTTTTACTGGAAAGAACCACTCTGTTCAGCAGGTCTATGCAGAAAGCCTCTGAACTTACCAGTGAACAACAGTCATTCACTGGAAAAATTATCTAGAAATAAGTAAATATTTTCTAAATTAAGTGCATTTATACTTAATTTAAGTAGGTTAATGAGAAAGTTTGCCAATGGAATGAGTATTTTTACTCTTAAAACAAGATAATTAGATAATATGCACTTGAAATAAGACAATGCAATTTTTTCTTATTTTAAGTGTAATTTGTCTTGTTCCATTGGCAAAATGTGTCTTTTACCTCCTCAATCCAAGAAAAATTCACTTATTTTAAGAAAAATTATTATCTAGATTTTGATTTTTTCCAGTGTTCAGTTTTTAGCTCCTGGTTGATTTTTGTATCTGTTCCAAATGTCTGAATGTTTCCAAAGAACACTTCATCTGTTACTGGAGGAGAAACGTTGATTTCTAACTGTCTTTGAGGTTCTGTTCGGCGTCCCATTTCTTTTAACAACTCATCAAAACCGGGAACACCAGAAAACATGGGATTAGGTAACATCAAGATACAAGAAACCATAAAGCTGCAGCAATGAGCAGCATATTGGATTCAAAATGTCTCCATGATAACCAGCAGATGCTGTCCACATGCCAACTGGTTTGGGAGGTAAACTTCTACCACCAAAAACATAAACATGGCTTTTATTATCCTCTACTAGGCCTTTAACTGGACTGCAGAGGAGATCGATTCAGCTACAGATGCAGAAGCAGGTCTGAGGTGAAACAAAGGATGAAAATATGGAAAAATGTTTTTATGCTTCCTGTCAGGCATGGTGGAGGTTCTGTGATGCTGGGGACATTTTCTCTTCTTAAAGAATTCAAGAGCCTCGTTGGAATGTACTGCATTGGGCCTTAACAAATAATCAAAAGTTAAGTTTTGTTTAGAAAAACAAACAATCTGCATATTTTGGTGGATTTTTTTCAGAGTTAAGATAATACAATTTGTACATTTTTAGATCAACTAATGACTTTTAATAAGTCAAATTAATAGAGCAGTAAAAAGGATCAAGCTTGATGTGTGACTCCATTTGCAACAGGCCTAAAAAGTAAAAACACACCTGAGAGGACATCAGACGTGCTGCATCAGGGTGAAAGTGCAGTATTAGACAAAATGCTCTGAGTGTTTGGTTTCCCAAATCGGGACAATTGGGCCGACACTCAGATTTTAGACTTTGAATCAAACTATCATAGTGATTTTAGGAAATGTCTTCACGGGGACATGATGATTGTTTTTAACACATAGAAGAAGCTCAGGCTGTGGTTAAACTTAAACCACCTACATGTGTTTTAGTAAGAGGTCTGATTCTGCTGGTTCTGATCCGTTTAAGAGCTGCAATGAGTTTTATATTCCAGCCACTGTGTTTCCATGGCATTGCCACACATGTGATGATGATGAGGATGCTGATGAGGATGATGAGGATGACGGAGATGAGGGTGGCAATAATGAAAATGGGAGGGATTCTGATGATGAGGTGGAGGAAGACAGTTGTGATGAAGAAGACAACAGAGAAATTATATGATATATGTACAATATAATATATATATATTATATTGATGAGGATGATGATGATTACTAGAATTATTTCAATGATGATGATTATGTTCTCTTTCAGGCTGTAAGGAGTGCTGTGAGCGATGCGTCGGCAGCCTTCCCTGGGCATCGCTCATCGCCACCATCCTCCTCTACATGGGCGTGGCCTTGTTCTGTGGGTGTGGCCACGAGGCTCTGAGTGGCACCGTCACTATCCTCCAGAACTACTTTGAGGTGATGCGAGCTCCTGGGGGCGTCCTGGACGTGTTTACCATGTAAGTGACCCTTCCAAAGAGGCTAATAAAGAAGTCTGGATTTCTCTGGACCATAGTTTAGCTCTGCTCTTCCTCATAATCTCAATTTCTATCAGGCTGACAATGATATCAGGAAGAAAAAGCTGCTGAGCAACAAAAACATTTTTTCTCCAAAAAATTGCAAATATAATGTGTATAATTTCATTGTAAATTTGAAGAAGAATAATTGGCTAAAACGCTTAATGCAGAAAAAAAATGGTTTATCTTTGACTGTAAATTTCCTAACCTGCCCAGGTATTTAGATTTATTTTGGTCTGTTAAATATATAGATTAGATTTAATAATTTATTTATGAGCTTTACCCGCTGCTACACATTCATAGAAACAGCTGGAAGCAATGTTGCCCAGCAAAGAAAGAAGAAGCTCCTAGATCAGACCTTTTTGCAGACTCTGCCTGTGCAGGAGTTGGTTGTCTGCAGCTCCAACCATACAAATTCCAGAAACAAGCATATTAGATGTTCCAGCCGCATGAACACGGCTGGGTGTGACTGTCTGTGCTGTATGATCGATCAGTTCAGGGTGTCGTTGCCTCTCACTGTGACCAGCTAGCTGTCCTCCTCTGACCCTATGGGTCTGAGCTTAAGGTACAGGATGTATAATCACTATTTTATCATCTTTGCCTTTATTTACCAAACTACAAGCAGCCTAAATGTTTCAATTAGTTGGTTTTACTCTTTTTTCTGAAAGGAAAGGATATAATGGACAGAGGCATAGAAATAAATGTTAACCAAAAATCACTGTGTTAAAATAAATCTGGATTTTAATCTGGAGATCATTTCTGGGGCACAAACTCTTCCCATCACAGAAAATAATAGCAAATCTGTTATTATGGAGATAATTTTGGCCCTACATTTTTGCAAGAGCAAAACATATTTTGTTAATTAAACTTTGAAAACAAAGAAATGCAATCCAGAAATGAAACTTGGAAAATGTTCATATTTTTAAAAAGTTTTTTTTAAGGTTTTTTTAAGGTTTTTTTTTTTTTTTCTTGGATATTTACGGTAGAGGATTAGGGCCACTGAAAAAAAAAGTAAACTGATTTTTAAATTTTATTTCAGTTTAACATGGGAAAAAAGTCAGAATTCTGACTTTAATCTCAAAATTCTGACTTTAATCTCAGAATTCAGTCAGAATTCTGAGATTAAAGTCAGAATTCTGAGATTAAAGTCAGAATTCTGAGATTAAAGTCAGAATTCTAAGAAAATAGTCAGAATTCTGAGATTAAAGTCAGAATTCTGAGATTAAAGTCAGAATTCTAAGAAAAAAGTCAGAATTCTGAGATTAAAGTCAGAATTCTAAGAAAAAAGTCAGAATTCTGAGATCAAAGTCAGAATTCTGAGATTAAAGTCAGAATTCTAAGAAAAAAGTCAGAATTCTGAGATTAAAGTCAGAATTCTGAGATTAAAGTCAGAATTCTAAGAAAAAAGTCAGAATTCTGAGATTAAAGTCAGAATTCTAAGAAAAAAGTCAGAATTCTTAGATTAAAGTCAGAATTCTAAGAAAAAAGTCAGAATTCTGAGATTAAAGTCAGAATTCTAAGAAAAAAGTCAGAATTCTGAGATTAAAGTCAGATATCTGACTTTTTTCCTATACTTTACTGAAATAAATTTTAAAAAATCAGTTAACTTTTTTATTTTTTCCAGTGGCCCTAATCCTCTTCCGTAGATATTTTACATTTACATTACAGATTTGCAAATTGTCATTTTATTTTTCAGATTGAGTTTTACAAAGTACATTCTCTTTAAATTGCGCTCTACAGATCACATTCTCTGCCCATTCAAAACACTTGAAATTTTTTTCCCCCTGTTCACTCAAGAGAAAAGCCCGCCCCAAAACATTAGAACTCAAATCTGAATTGTAAAACTGTACATGAAATAATGTTACTATAAAACCTAATCTGAAAAAGACAAATTTGACCAAAAAAAAAACTAAACCTGTAGAAAAAGTTTGAAAAACATAAAATACAGAAAATGCCCTGAGATGTACTGGTGACCCTGTCTTTGCGCCGATAAGCACCAATCACGACCCTGACAGATTAAACTGGAGAAAATGGATGTATGGAAAATCTGAAGAATAACATTTTAAAAAATCTGAGACAACAGTTAAAATCCTCTTAAAAATCTTTTATTTTCATTAAGATGTTTTGTTTCTGGATTGCAGTATTTTTAAAGTATCTATTTAGAAAATGTGTTCTGTGCGAGCCACAATAATGGAACATAATAAATAATTTGCTCCATCTGTGACAGAACCTCTAGACTATGTGTTCTGATCAGGGCCGCCGTCCTGCCAAATCCGAACCCCCTCCTCCAAAACATCTCAGCCTGATTTCTGTCATTGTTCCCGAATGATGATTTAGCTGCAGATTCAGTAAGCGGCTGGGTGCAAACATCAACATGTAAACAGATAAATATTCATGGATTCATTGAACGCTGTGAGTGTTTGTGTCCTTTTCTCAGCATCGACATCCTGAAGTACATCATCTACGGCCTCGCAGCTGGTTTCTTTGTGTTCGGAGTGCTGCTGCTGGTGGAGGGCTTTTTCACCACTGGAGCCATCAGGGATCTCTATGGCGAGTTCAAGATCACCGCCTGCGGACGCTGCCTGACTGCATTCGTAAGAGAAACCCCAGATCCCACGGAAGATTTTCCGAACAAACTGTGTTTGTGTGTTCAGATTGGTCCAAACAGCGAGTAAAACCGAAAGGGAACCAATATGCATTAAAGGTTAACAGCAGAAACGCCTGTAAAATCCTGCGTGGTTCACTTTTGCTGTAAAATCTCAGTGAAATTTATTGAAATTTGTCCATTGAAGCTTTTTGTCTCACATTTAGTTCTGTGTCAGTGCCAGAGGTGGAAAGAGTACTAAAAAATTTTAATTGAGTAAAAGTATCTTTACTTTGCCTAAATTCTACTCAGAGTAAAAGTAAAATTACCCATCTCAAAATTTACTCAAGTAAAAGTACAAAATTACTTTATTTAAAATGTAATTTAAGTAAAAGTTACTTAGTTACTTTGAGTTATTTAATGCAAAAAAGGATGAGTCGTGAATCGAATTGAGCACAAGGTGTTTTAATCGATTTCGAGGTGTATTTCAGTGGACATCCACACTTGAAAAAGATCAGCTGAGCTAAAGAACATACTTGCTCACAGCACAAGGACAGTCACAACCTGAACCATAAAGTGCAAACAATTTTCAATCCTAGTATCCAACAGACAACACCATGATAACTAACTTACCGCCACCTTTTTTCGTAAATTGGATGTTGATGTTTTAAAAGCCGAAAGCTCCGTTTTGTAGGGCAGGCACATGTTGCACTGCATTATCACATTGTTCCCTTTTGTAAACAAATATTCCTTCCAAATATGGCCAAGGGTTTTTCTGGCTTTCATCTCCAGAATATGTTTCCTCTTCAGGCCTTTCCTCATCCATACTCCCTAAGTTGTGTGTCATGTTGAGGTTTAGGTGTCTAACCCACATGCAGAAACACTCACTGAGGCAGGAAAAAGTTTAAAGGTTTATTTACAAATATTTACAAAATGTGAACTGGAACTTGGCTGGTCAGACTGGTCACGGCAGGATCACCACTGGGGAGGACAGAGAAGTTAGAGGAGTTCCAGGTAAACTGCAGTTTACAGATGTAGGAGAAAATACCTGCTCCGAGGTGGAACGGATCAGCAGGGGGGGGAACCTTGAGGGTCCAGAGGCTAGTCGGCGGGCAGAGGGCTGAGGGCAGAGGCAGAGGCTGAACTGAGTGCAGGCAGGCAGATTCCAGACAGAGATATTCTCCAGGATTTCAGGTTATCTGACAGGATTGGATCTGTGAAGCAGAGAGAAACAGGTTCAGGCAGGTTCACAAAAATTAGGGAAAACAGATCTGAGAGGCTGGCTCAGGTTTTGCTGGTACCATTACTGGCAAACACTCTGGCAGGGAAGTGTTAGCCCCCTCCTCCTTAAATAGGGCTTCCTGATTTTTTCGCCATCAGTATTTTTTTTTTTTTTTTACTCATTAATGTGAGGGGGTTTTAAATGTAGCAAAGTAAAACTACTTAGGTAAAAATTTTCTCTGTCATTGGAGAGATTAGGTCTTAAAAAAACAAAGGTTGATAGAATCTGCTGAAAAAGAAGAGAAGCTGGCAACTATTTTGGCGTAACAAGCTCCAGGCCACCCGTCCTATAATAGCAGCAGCATCAAGTTTCGTCAGCCTCATAAACTTTGATTACATTTCCAAAATGGATTTGATTTCAAAGTAAGAAGGGTCCCTAAATCCAATCCTACTGAGGGCCTTCCATATACACGCCCTTCTCTGCAGCTCAAACATCTTAAAGTTCAAAGGTTGAGGTTTAGTCATGTGCTTTAAAGGTACAGATAACAGAAACACTTATTTTTAATGATTAATAACCTAAAAATAAAAATTATTTAGCAAATACAAAATGTCTCTTCAATATAATTAATGATTACGAAAAGATCAATACTACTAAAAACCAGTTTAATCAGAAGATCAGTTGTACGGTAAATGGCCTCCCTGTACTGTATGCTGTTTGTCACTTTATTTTAGTAACAAATGGGTTATGACGTCGGACTCCTGTGGGGGAAGGACTCAGAGACAGATGAGCTTTGTCCACTTCTGGCCAGGAAGATTTATAGGCCCACATCTGTAGTTTCCTGAACCGTGAAAAGGAAAAGGTTTTCTAACGTTGGCCTCTGGAGACAACAACACAGAACAGAGAGCAAGAGAGAGAAAAACACTCTGACACACTATGTGTCTCAGTGTGAAACTGACTCATGGATCACAAACTGGATGACTACTGGCACAGTGTAACATCTCAGAACTCTTCTGCTATGGTACTCCTCTCGCTGCCAACGGCTGCTTCTGTCCAAATTCTTCTAGAATGTGGAGTATAGTCATGGGCATGATGTGATTTTACAGGTGATTATTGTCCAGAACTCCACAAACGATGCAAGAAGCTGCAAAAGCAGAAGGATAGCAGGCATGTTGGTAAAAACAAACCTGCAACGCAAAGAATGAGAGGATGTTTGGTGTGAAGAGAGACAATCTGAAACACTGCTGAGGAGAGGAAAGGGACCAAACTGGTCGACATGATAATGTGAGGAACTATCAGCCCTTCAGTTTAGACTTACTGAATTTTGTCCAATCATTGTGCACGCAAATAATCTGTTTAATAAATAGTAATTTGATTTACAAAAAATGAAGTCTAGGAATTGAATTTTGAAAACTTCTTGATAAAAAAAAAAGGCATTCACAATAACTCTGCTTTTTTTGTGATTGTTACAACTTGCATTATTTATATTCTGTTTCTACAGTAAGGAGTAAAGATACATTTCTGTTGGTACACATTTTTACTGGTATATCTGCATGTCAGAATAATTGTTCACACTGGGCTTAAAATTGTCTTAAAGTTGTTTAGGTTTGGAGGACCCGAATGCAGAGACGAGTTGGCAGAGGTGAATTTAAGTGTTTTAATAAGGTTCACAGGCACTGATGCAGGAATCAAAAAATCCAACAAAAAATAACTCACGAACCAGAACCTAGGAGACATCAGGGGAAAACAGAAATCTAGGAACCAGGAAGACACGAGGAAGGCAGACAGACGACTGACGAGAGGTTAGACGAGGATCCAGCAAACAGGAACTGAAGAGGGAGGGCTTTTAAAGGGGACAGAGACAGGGAGATGGCTAATGAAGGAATTGAAAACAGGTGAGGGCTGAACAGAAAACAGAGCAAGAGAAAGAGGACACAAGAGGGCAGCAGAGGACAACAAATGGAAAACCTGGAAGACAGGAACTAATAAGAAAACAACAACAAAATAATAATAATCAAATAACTAGGATAAAGAAACATGGTGAAAAGAAAACTAAACACTAGAAATCAAGGAGCCAAAGAAAAACATAACAGAAACAGAAACCTAACAAAAATGAAGAGAATGTGATCTATGAAACACAATCAGAAAAGAATGCATTCCATAAAACTCAAATAGTTTTACTGGATGGAAATGCAGGAAAGAGGTTTTCTTGTTCATTTTCTTCCGAACAAAAGTGAGAATCTCTCTGTTTTAACTGGCTTCCTATGAGTTGAGAGCTCACTGTCATCTACTAGAGAAATGTTCGATTCTTTTTACCTGAAATATGGAAGCTCGCTTTGGTCTCTGCTGACCTCTAACTCTGTATCCTTTCTTCCTGTTTCCAGCTGATGGTTCTGGCCTACCTCTTCTTCCTGGTGTGGCTCGGGGTGACAGCGTTCACCAGCCTCCCTGTCTTCATGTACTACAACGTTTGGTCCATGTGTAAGAACATCAGCTCGGTGGAGGGGACCAACCTCTGCCTTGACCTGCGTCAGTTTGGTGAGTACCATTGTCGGGTTCATAAATAGGTTTTTTCTTAAGAAGAACTGAAATACAGACTTATCGATACAATTCCTGCAGGAAGGAGAGACAGTTGAACCCCAGACTTAAACACAGTGTCTCCCACTGGAGCTCCTCTGCAGAGCGTTTATTAACAGAACATGTCGCATGGTTACAAACAGAGTTCTGACAGAACAATTGATCAGTTTATGAATACAGGACGCTCCATCAGAATGACAAGGCAGGATGGTCTCCTGACTGAATCATGAGACAGGAGTGGAGCATCCCCTTTCAAAAATGTTTCATAAGCACACATTAATTTTATAATCATCACTGAATAAACCTGACAACCATCAGAACAGAAAACCTCAGACCTACTGACTCTCATACCTACCGGCATTTACCTCTAAACTGTGTCAGTATCTCCATGTTTACCTCTTTTATTTCTAAAACGTTTATCTGGGAAGAACAAAAAAAAATTAATCACCACATTATATATTACTAGAAGTTATAACATGGATTGTTTCCTAAAAGTTAATTTACTAAATGTTCCCACATCCTGTTTAAAAGACTTTCTCATGTTTCTATGATTGCTCTTTATTTCGTGCTTTGCACGAAAGATGCTATTATCATCTACTGATGATAATAGATTTTATTCGAATCTTTTAAAAAACAGGGTTTGCTAATAAATCTGCAAATTGTTTTCATGACTAGATGCTTTTATTAGTGATTATTATGAGATCTTAAAATTCATCCATTTCGATCCTAAGCGTTTTTCCTCAGGAGTGAGGATGGATTTACTTTGGTCTGTTTGGATGATAGGAACATTTTTATTGGTTAATATGTGCATGAAGTGTTTATATTGGGCTTGAAGTAAAGAGAATGTGATCTGTAAAACGTAGAATACAAGAATACACTTTTAAAATTCAATCTGAACAAGACAAATAAAAAAATTTTACTTTGCCCCACTAGCATGGAAAACTACAAAATTGGAATCAGAAACTATCCACATTTATTCTTCTGGGGCAAATGAAATTTCTTTAAAGAAAAAAAAATAAAATAACAAAAAGGTACAGTTTTGAGAATGCAGGGACTATACAAATATTGAAAAGAGACAATTTAGTGCTTTTTTCACATCCATCACTGCAGCTAAAAAAATAAAAACCCACACACATCATAAATGTACAGATATTTTCAATAAAATAGAATCAACCCTTCCTAGATATGATCATGGAGACGAATCCAGCTCAGCCCTAATTATCTAGAAGAAATGTTTCCACCTCTTTAAAATTAAATATTAATCTGTATGGAATGTCTTTTAAGTGTGTATAAGTGTGTTTACCGTTCCCTAATTTTTCTTCACTACATATAAATACAGTCACCGGCCAGTTTATTAGGTACCCCATGCTAGTAACGGGTTGGACCCCCTTTTGCCTTCAGAACTGCCTCAATTCTTCATGGCATAGATTCAACAAGGTGCTGGAAGCATTCCTCAGGGAGTTTGGTCCATATTGACATGATGGCGTCACACAGTTGCCGCAGATTTGTCGGCTGCACATCCATGATGCGAATCTCCCGTTCCACCACATCCCAAAGATGCTCTATTGGATTGAGATCTGGTGACTGTGGAGGCCATTTGAGTACAGTGAACTCATTGTCATGTTCAAGAAACCAGTCTGAGATGATTCCAGCTTTATGACATGGCACATTATCCTGCTGAAAGTAGCCATCAGAAGTTGGGTACATTGTGGTCATAAAGGGATGGACATGGTCAGCAACAATACTCAGGTAGGCTATGGCATTGCAATGATGCTCAATTGGTACCAAGGGGCCCAAAGAGTGCCAAGAAAATATTCCCCACACCATGACACCACCACCACCAGCCTGAACCGTTGATACAAGGCAGGATGGATCCATGCTTTCATGTTGTAGACGCCAAATTCTGACCCTACCATCCGAATGTCGCAGCAGAAATCGAGACTCATCAGACCAGGCAACGTTTTTCCAATCTTTTATTGTCCAATTTCGATGAGCTTGTGCAAATTGTAGCCTCAGTTTCCTGTTCTTAGCTGAAAGGAGTGGCACCCGGTGTGGTCTTCTGCTGCTGTAGCCCATCTGCCTCAAAGTTCAATGTACTGTGCGTTCAGAGATGCTCTTCTGCCCACCTTGGTTGTAACGGGTGGTTATTTGAGTCCCTGTTGCCCTTCTATCAGCTCGAACCAGTCTGGCCATTCTCCTCTGACCTCTGGCATCAACAAGGCATTTCCGCCCACAGAACTGCCGCTCACTGGATGTTTTTTTCTTTTTCGGACCATTCTCTGTAAACCCTAGAGATGGTTGCGCGTGAAAATCCCAGTAGATCAGCAGTTTCTGAAATACTCAGACCAGCCCTTCTGGCACCAACAATCATGCCACGTTCAAAGTCACTCAAATCACCTTTCTTCCCCATACTGATGCTCGGTTTGAACTGCAGGAGATTGTCTTGACCATGTCTACATGCCTAAATGCACTGAGTTGCCGCCATGTGATTGGCTGCTTAGAACTTAAGTGTTAACGAGCAGTTGGACAGGTGTACCTAATAAAGTGGCCGGTGAGTTTATATCTCTTCTGAGGAAGATGGGCTATGGTTTTCTTTATATAAACAAAAAAAGTATAAAATGTATTTTGAGAAAGAAAAAAACAATAGAGAAATCTCTCACGTATCATGAAGGCCTGGGATGAATTGAATTGCTGGTGTATTTCCAGCACATTGCTCTGTGGTTAGGCAATGATTTCTGTGATGTAATCACTGCTCCGTCCTCCATGTTGTTCTGCTGCTTGTCCACACTAGACAAAATGCTACATTAGACTTGAACAGTGCTGCCACCTACTGCTCAACATCTAGAACTGGACATGGGTCCACTGTTTCCATGGTGAGAAAAGTATGAGTTAGAGGAAAGAGCTGATCCATAAGATACTTTTCTCCTCCCAGTTCTCTACAATAACAGACAGGGAAGATGTAAGGAACCCAGTGATAGGGTAACAGTCAAGCTCCAGCCTTGAAAAGAGGATAAGAATAATAATTAATATATGCATATTTATTTTTGATGTATTCAGGAGCAGTGACCATTGCGGAGGAGAAGAAGGTGTGCATTGGATCTGAAAAGTTCCTCAGGATGTGTGATTCCAATGAGGTGAGCAGATGTGATGCAGGTTTAAGGATCTGATTGGAAAAGCTGCAGAAATCCAACCTTGCTCTGATTTGATGTTACAGCTGGACTTGACCTTCCATCTGTTTGTGTGTGCACTGGCGGGAGCAGGAGCCGCTGTCATCGCCATGGTAAGCAAGTTTTTACTCAAACCGGATTAAAGTTCAAACTTAAATGAGTTTTGAAGGACCAACGTTTCCAAAGGTTATTTCACTTTGCCTTGCACTAAGGACATACCACAGTGTGGATCGATACACTAGAGTAGACATGAAATCCTCATAACATATTAAAAAACACTTTAAAAATACTTCAAACGTTTTAGGCGGGCTGCATGGAGGAGTAGGTAGTCCCATTGTTGCCTCTTTACCAAGAAGGTTGACTTTCATATTCCATCTTATGACCCTTTTGCAAAGGCATTACTGTGGTTCTGGTCATCTTAGGGTTATCAGGTACTGGGTCAGTAGGGCAGCAGGCTCAGAAAAAACTCCCAAAATTCCCTCTCCCCAGTTACCTCCAGCTTTGCAGAGGGAAAGCTGAAACGCAACCAGGCCAGTCAAAGAGACCTAGGCTGTTTATCAATTCACTTTAACGCGACTACGGACTCATGCCCTCGCCAAATATGTTCTTGAGAAGAACACAGAAAAGTATGGACTCAGGGAGAACGGGAGCACGGAGCATAAATCTGGGTCAATTGAAACAAAAGCGTACTTGTGACGTCACCACACGCTCGGATCATCTGAGCTGCATTTCACCTCTTGTTATTAATAGTCTCTAGACTATAATAAATTCTAACTTTTTTTATTTAGTAGGGGAATAATAATAACCACAGTCAGGTAAACAGAAATCAGCCAGAAATAGCCAGCGGTCCTTCACACGACTATGCCGAGAGAGGGCTGCAGCAGACCGGCTGCTGCAGACGGGCTGCGGTTAGCCCTGGCTGCTGTTGGTTGCTGCGGTTCTCTCAACTTAAGTTTAATCACGCAATAAATCGGTAAACGGCCATATAGTGATGCTTAAAAGTGTAATGTTCTCGCCTCAAATTATCTTAAAACATACTTTTATAGAACATAGACAACAGAAAATAGAATTTTAACTTAATTTAACTTAGTATCAATCTCAAGAACAGAAGTCTGCTCTGATGCATACTCGCTAAATAGGGAGGACATCCGGGGACTTTGTCCATTTTCGGTCTGCTGTTCTTTTGAATTGGAACAGTATAGGGCTAAGGCTGATGACGTTTAACGAGCACATGAGAATGCACAAGTAAACATATTGAGAAATGGCAATACTCCCTCCATCTTGTCTAGTGCAGTCCTCTGGGCTCTGCATTAAACACCTCCCAAGAGAGGCATCCATGGAGCATCAGAAAAAGATGGCCAAGCCACCTCAGCTAAGTCCTCTGACTGAGGAGAAGAAGCAAATCTTCCACAAGCCTCTTCTGGATGACAGACATCCTCACACCATCTCTAAGGCTAGGCATATACTGGCTGATATTTCTAATCATACTCAGCTTAAGCTCAAACTGTACAATCAAACCATGGGGTTTAAAAGTTAAGAGCTCACAATGTGTGTTCTTTTACTGTATGGCCCAACGCAATCTAACTGCTCACACTCTACGTCCATAAACCACATGCTGGACTCAGGGCTGAAAGATGCCACTGGTCTGACTTCTCAATCTGTAAGAAGAAGAAGAAGAACTCCATTGTTTGCACATGCACTGTGTGTGAAGTTCTGGAAAATCATTTCATAGGCGCTCGTAGATCTGCAGGATTTCTCCAGGAACACCTTACGAGTGCCAACTGAATTTAAAACATGTTTGATTTTCTCCTCACCTTACGATTCCTGATCGGGAGGTGGTCAGGAGAGACCGATCGCCGCTCAATACTCCCTGTATACTACAAGACACGGACGCACGATGAGGATGAAACTTGGCCTGATCAGAAAAATTCTCTCACAAATCAGCTCAAAAAAGCTGAAAGGATGCACAGCCTGAATTGGGACACACCCCTGCTAAAATAAGCTTCTTCTTTTAGTGGCTAAAACGTCCTGGGCACCTTCCTTATAAGATTTAATTGGCACATCCCACTGGAAGGAGACTATGCCTGTACTGTAGGCCTGTCTACGTGGCATTTAAAAGGCTCAATCTAAGACATCCTATTCCTCATAAACACTTGTTTCCTCAGAGTGAGGTTAGAACTTATCATTGGGGAGTAAAGTGGGTAGGATTTATGGGCTTTCCAGTTTTTTTCCCTTTAATAATCTGGATCTCCTTTTACTCTTCCCTCACTGCCCTCAGGTCCACTTCCTGATGGCTTTGTCTGCTAACTGGGGCTACCTGAAAGACGCCAGCAGGATGCAGAAGTACGAAGACATAAAGTCGAAGGAGGAGCAGGAGCTGCACGACATCCACTCCACGCGCTCCAAAGAACGCCTCAATGCCTACACATAAATCCAGAGCTGCCCGAAAAAACACACACTTACCTGTCAGACACACACACACATCCATACACACAGAGACACACACAAACAGCTGCTGATACAAGCCTGAGGACAGCATAGATTCATCAGACACGAGGAAAAACACCACACTAATACAGACACGAGTAGGCAGAAATAAGACGATAAAGAAGAGATGAAAGCGCAGACACCATCGTCATCCTTGTGTCTACATCAGATCAGTGGCCCTGGTGCTTTTGTTTGTCCTGAGAGGAACCTTTAACTTGACCTTAAACTATGGAATCTGCTCTAGTTCTAATAAAAGTTCTCGTAATATTTTTCAATGCAAAGGTCCCCATTGTTTACAATAAAAAAATTGAGAAGACCTTGACTTGAACAAGGAAAAACCAGCATAACAAACAGAGACCAAAAACAGCAACCCAGAAAAACCCAAAGATAAGCAAAGCAGTGTTGAATTTGGGCCCTTAGTGGTGAAAGTTTGTGCATCTCTGCTGAAGCCAACAATCCCTGGCAGACACGAGAATGAGTTTGGTGTCTGTGAGATAATCAATTAATAGAAGCCCCCTTCCTTGAAGTGCAACACCCACACACAAACACAAACATACTCACACACACAATGAGACAAATAGATGTGACTGAATGGTCGGTGATGTGCAGGCAGTGTTGTTTCGGTGGTGTCATGCTGTGTTGTGTCCTTTCACCACACTATGATGGCCGGTGTAACAGAGAAATAAGGTTCCCTGAGGAAATTTGTGCCTCCTAGGTGCAGATGGGTTGCTTTGCCAACTTTTCCTCCCCTACCCTTCCTTCCCCAACTTCTGGTTCCCATAAGGTCCAGTTTAATGAGTTCCTCGTTAAATTCTTGAACCAGCAACATGATGAAATGACATTGATAAAATCCCCAGTCTAATCTTGTTTCATTTATTCTGTGCGGATCTACCAAGTAAACACTAATTAAAGTGATTTTAGAAACCTTCACTGAAGCTGGTCCCCCACCCCTAGCCCCAAACTCCCCTTTACCCCTGGATTGTATAAACTTGTCATTTGTCCCCAGAGACAGCACATCTTAGCAGCACAAAGTCTTTTTGTCCTGTTCCCATCCATTTATTTTCGTCATGATTTTTTTTCTCACTTTTTTTTGGAGAAAGTTTTGATTATTTATGTGTAATTTTAGCACTGAGGGTATTTAAGAGGGAGGTCAGGGGTCAGCTGGGAATCGGGTTTATGTCACATGTTCATGTAACGAGTCTGTATTTCAGTAGTTCTGCACAAACACACATGCAAACGCGCACACACAGACACACACACACACAGCACAGCTCCATTGTGTTGTCACGATTTCTTCTGTTCTCAACCAGCCCGAATGTGACCAAATGTTCTCTGTAAGTTAGAAAACCACCGATATGAACAGTAAACATGTCAGCTGGAGACTAACAGAGTCAGAACTGAGACTTTGTAGTAATTTTTTTCAGGGGGACTTATGTCCTGGGATGGGATTTGGAGGAAACAGGAAGCAGAGAATAAATCAGGTGTTATGAGTTCATCGGCAGAAAAGGCAAGAATGAGCAACGTCCAGCGAATAAGCTACATGTTCAGGAAGGGTTTAGTTCTCTGGAGGGTTTTTTTTGTGGTTTTAGGACTTATTCGGTGTCTTACACAGCAATCTCCTCAGGTGCTTCAGAGCTGGAAGCTGTAATCAAGGGTGAACCAGCTGATTTACAAAGCTTTGTAAGAAAGACGCTTGAGATTTTGACTGTCAAATCAACTTCTCGCTTTTAAATTTCAGCAGATTTAACCAGAGGGCAGCTCAGTCTCTGTGAGATGCAGCGATTTTTCGTAGTTTTTTTTAAGCTCTTCAAAGGAGAATTTAGTTTTCTGTATTCGAGGCTGTTTTTGGGGTTTCTTTCCGTCAGGACAGGGATGAGTCTCTATCTGCCAGTAGAGATAACCAGAAGGGTTTCTGTTTGTCTTCAGAAAGAGCTTGAAGTAGAAGGTGACAACGTAAGTTAGATTTTAATAAAACAAACACACACACACACGTACACACAATACCATCACTCTGAGCCATACTTCTCTTTTACTTTTCACTGATTACATCTCACTATTTTATTATCAACTTTGAAACTTTTTAAATGTGAAACTATTTAATTAGAAAAACAATGTGTTATTTTTTTTTCTTTTTGCTCTTGTGTGGGCAGTAATAAGCACTGTTCCTGCATCTACTCTGTATAAAGATATACATATATGTGAGACAGTGGAGGCGAGCAGCCGAGAGGATGACCTACTGTCGGTTCCAGAGTCTGCAGGAGGCGGCTCAGTCCCAATGTCCTGAGCCTTGGCTCCCAGCGGGAAGCTTATATACACACATGTATGGGTGTGGCATGGAGTAATTAGAGTTCAATGATCTCAGGATCTGTTTATGTTTCCACAGCAGAGACCAAAAAAGGAAGAAAAAGCTTTGAGAACAAATTAGATGTCCATCAGTTTGATCCTGACATTTCTATTGACCAAACAGGGCCCAAGCTGATGAAAAACTCCATGCTGACACCCACAGTTTAGCTTTGAATTGGATTTGTGGTGTATATGTATCAAGTGAAATTGACCACTATTGTTGCAAGCAAAGAACATGTTTTATAAACGGAAATGAAAAAAATAAAATAAAAATGCAATCCAAAAATGAACCTTTGAGAGGATTTTTTAACCCCCGAAAAAAAAGGGTTTGAGGGTAACTTTTCTGCTTTCTCCGATTCGATTTTTTTTATCAAATTATCAAATATTTCCTTTAATTCTTTTTTTTTTATTTTTATTTTTTTTATTATTGTTATGTTTTTCAGATTGAGTTCCATGAAATGCATTCTTTTTAACCGCATTTGACAGATCACATTCGCTTCACTAACGGGGGCGGGCTTTCCTCTGGAGAGAGGAGAGAGGATGCATTTCTATTGGTCTGTATGGATGTAAGCAACATTTTTACTGGTCAAGAGTGAATGTTTTCACTTGAAGTAAAGGGAAGGTTATCTGAGAAACATACTTTAAAGGAATGCAGTTTGTAAAAGTAAATCTGAAAAGGAGATATTTAAAAAAAATAACATTCTGAAAAAGTAAAAATAAAATATTATTAATTTGTTATTCCAAAAAGTTTAATTTCTGGAAACAATTTTTTTTAAATAGTTTCCAGAAATGAAACTTTTTTAAAATATACATTTACAAATTGTGTTTTTCTTTTTAAATTTCCATTTACAAAATTAGTTCTTTGCTTGCAAGAATAATGGAGCATAATTCACTCCATACATTTGCAGCCGGATGTTGCAGAAGAAGGAGAAAAAAAACGAGGCGTTGCAGAATGAGGGAGACCCCTGCAGACTCGAGTCCCGTTCAGGTGAATCTCGGCTGCGAGCGGTCAGTATTTTTAAGGGTCTAGTTTTACAGTAACAGTATTCTATCATTTCATTGCCTGACAATGGATGTCTTGTCAGTGTTTTTAACCTCAGATAAAAGAAAAAATAGTTTTTTGTGCACTTATTGACCATTGTGAGCTCTCTCTCTCTCTCCCTCTCTCGCTCTTTCTCTCTCCCTCTCTCTCGCTCTCTCTCTCTCCTATCCTTGATGTGTAAGTGCATTGAGCTCCCGGCGCCGGGGCCTGTGTATAGTCTTGCAGCATTGGTTATAACCTGAAGAATTACTGATGAAAACGAATGAATTCATAACAATGAAGATAATCTTATTCTACATAAAAAAGACAGTGAATCTAGTTGTTGTTTGTGGCATGGTTATGCATTCAATGGTCATAATTTTAAAGATTAAAATGAAAAAAAAAAACTTTTTTTTTTCCACTTGCGCTGTTCTGCTGTTTCTTGTTTTATTTCCACTTCTCAGTGTGCAGTATTGCAGTTCCTGTTGCTTATGGTGTTGCTAAGCTCGCTTGCTTGCTCAGTTGTTTACCACCAGAGCAATATATTGTAGCAGTTTGACTAAATTGAGACGTGAACAAGAAATCCATCCCCTTAAATTCCCAACATCCAAGTGCATGAATCTTTGATTGCAAGTCTTACGTGATATGATTATAGTGTTCTGTATTGTTTCTCCTAATAAAGCGGATTTGCAGATGTGGTGTAATGTATTGCTCTGGCCAGCCGTCATCATGTTTCCACCGCTGCTCACATCCTCCTCCTCCCCTTCTTCCTTCTCTTCAAGCCTTCGGGCAGCACTCAGCACTGCAGACCCGCTCCAGATGATCTGAAAGTGGTTCCTGTTTGATTTGCAGCCTTAATTTGCTTCAGATTAAACAACTGAGGTTATCCATCACAAGTACAGGCTCGGTAGCTTAGCAACAAGCAGTGCACTGCACAGACGTCCGTCTGCACCAGCAGAAACGTAACTCCTAGGGCTCCGAATCGATCGAACACCCCTCACAGATTGGATCAGTGTTTTCAGAACTATGGTCGTCTATTTCCCTCTATAGCCTGATGCATCTGCTGACGTCTTTGGGGTGAGGCTGTGAGCAGCTCGTCTTCCATTCCCTTCCAGTCACCTGCGTCCTCTGTGTCTACCTGCAGACTGCGGCTGAACATGGACCCATCATTCCAGGATCCTGATCTTGTTCAGGATTCACAAACTCTCCATGTCAGCAGAAGAAAGCATGTATTATGATAAAATCCTGATACCAGCCCTCTGTGAGGAAAATCTGAGCTTATTCTCACAGGGCAGATGTTCAGCTCTTCTCCATCAAGAGCAGATTTGAAGGTCTGAGATCTTCAAAGTTCATGCATCATGTCAGGTTCGACATTCTGGATGTGAGACTTCTCTTTTTTTTTTTGCTCTCCATCACCCTTACGTCCTTGTTACATCTCTCTGGTTGCTTAGTAGCAAGCTTCATCTGGTTCACTCCATCTCTGTACATATCTGTTCCAGCAGCTCAGGCAGACAGTGGCTTTTTTATTTGTAAAGACATAAACTTGCTTGCATATATAAATAAATTGAATTCAGACACTTGTGTACTTGTTAAAAAGGGAACAATCTGACTTTGTGTTTTCATTTCACTTTCAACACAAACCTATATAGCATTTCACAGAATTGGATACACAGTATGTATGCAAATATTGTATGGCTTTACATCTCATACGATGTAAAGCCATCACCCCACCAGTGTCATGTGACGTGTTAGTGTTACAAAGACTCGACCCTCATATTGGTACCAACACACGCCATGGTGGGTGTTGGCCGTGGTCGCCATTATGAGATCTATCTTAATAGTGCTGACTGTAAGGAAGAAGATAGGAAGCAGGATGCTTTTTAACGCCATTAGCATTGGGACCTCCTGGTGTTTCTAGATAGGAGCTATGCATATGGTTTCCCACAAGCCTTTGTGTGACAGTGTCAGGGTTGGTTGTGGTTTGGAGGACCCAAATGCAGAGGCAGAGAGGCTGAGGTGAATACTTGTAGTTTTAATGAAAAAAGGTTGACAAAGGCAGTCCAAAAATCCAACTAAAATGTAACAGACCAGAACCATGGAGACATCAAGGGAAAACACGTAGAAGGAGCCAGGGAGAGATGAGGGGAGACGATTGCAGCGATGACAGGACCAGAAACAAACAAAGAACCAACAAAGAGTGAGAGCAGAGGGAGAGCATAAATAGCTGACAGAGACAAAGGGAGGGCTAACTAGCTGACAAGCAGCAGGTGTGAGGAGACAACGAGGGAGCCAAGGGGAAAGGAACATACACACACACACACACAAGAGGGCAACAGAGGACAACATGAGAACTAACATAAATCTAGAAATACAACAAAATATGAATTAAACCAATACAACTAGAAAACAAGAAGCAAAGTAAAGCATAACATAACCAAAACCATGGCAGACAGACTGTGTAGACATAGCCCACCTCACAGAGCTTAAATTATTTCATGACATTTATTGTGTGAGACACATGCTAATGAAAAAATCTTCTTCAGTGAAAGTTTGACTTGTTGCATAGTTCTTCTCTGGACGGCTAAAGTCCCAACTTGACCAGGGTCATTTATCTGCATGTCCACCACGTAATTACTTCCATAAGTCTGGCGGCTGTCTGGATTCAGCACACGGTCTGGGTCTCCATTCCTATCCTGGATTTTTTTGCTGTTGACTGCAGGTAGGAGCAAAAATTACAGATATTCATATTGAGTCCAGGTCTCAGGTGAACAGGGAACAGGTGTGAAAGAATTGGTGAAATTGCTCTCACGGGTCAGTGGGAATTCATCATTCAATCTTAAAGCAAAGAATTATGAGCATCTGAAAAAAAATCATTAGCTATAACTAATACATTTGCTGTGATTTAATGAATTTAGTGTTAAACAGTAAAAAAATTCAAATTCAAATTTCCGTCGCCATCACTGAGTCTAGGTCCGGCCATTTTTGCCCAGATATAGTAACATCTCACTCCTGACATCTTCTGGCTGTGACTTCATGGTTTGGTAAGCCTAGCGCCATTCTCCCCGCTTTACAAGCAAAATCAATGGGAACTACTAGACAAATCTGCAATCAAAAACAATGAATAAAGATTTCGAAAGGACTTCACCATTGAAATTCATGAGAGTTCTAGTTAAAGGGACAATGCCCACGTGCATGGCAGTTGGATGTTGCAATACATTGGGTAAAAGTGAAAAAAAAAAAAAAAATTCACCTTTCCTATTCCTGATCCTCCACGGACGGGTTCATCGTTGGATTGCCAGGTTGAAGAGGGAGGACTTGCCATCGAACTTCTGGCCAGAGAAAAAACACGTAATGTAGCCAACATTTTGAAGAAGAATGTTTTCAAGATGACTTGGATAATAGCGCACTGTGACAAACACCAGATACAGCACTGGGACTTGCTCAACAGCACAGTAACGTTGCAAAACTGGTAGGTGGCAGTAGTGTTCTTTGACAAACATGGATGCCTCCAGTAAAGCACATTCAAATGAAAATTACACTTAATTAAAAAACACTTATGATTTATTGAAAAATATGTTAGTAGTTATTTCTGTTAGGTAAAGAAAGAGAGTTCTCA